CGCCCTATCAGGTTGATCTCCTATTTGAACATGCGCATATGTGTGTGTATGATGTGCCCTAGCTTACTTATAATATTATTATTTTGTTATACACGTAGATCATGTCCATGATGCCGTTCCTCTGCGCAGGGCGACCGCACTATTGTATTTAAGATTAACATCATTATTACTTCTGCATATGAATTACATACTATGATCATGCTGGCTTCATCCCTTATCTCCTAAGCTACCACCCCCCCCCCCCCCCCCCCCCCGGTGCGTCTGCCCAGTGTTGACTCCGAGACCTACGGTCGGACGAGCTGCCCAGGCCTCACCACCACTGCCGTTTCCGTGCTGCCTTCTCGATACATACGTATGTACACTGTATATCATGTGCACATTCACATGTCTGAAGGTTTGTGGTTTTTCAATAAAAAAATAAAAAAATAAAAAGTAGACGTTGAAGAAGCCATTACACTCGTAAACCAAAATAAACAACACGAGGAGAAAGTTGAAACACGAGGAGTAAGTTCGAGCATGCGCCGAAATAGGTACGAAAATCCAAAACGAAAATCGGTTTTTATAAGTATATTTTAAATAAAATACATACTTCGTCCTCGTGTTTACTCGAATTATAAAAAACCTCCACAAAACCCTCGGCTTCGCCTCGGGTTTTGTGTCGGTTTTTTATTTCTCGTAAACACCTCGGACTCAGTATGTATTTTATAAATAACTGCCAACTCTATAGCCGCTCTCTACCGGTACAGGTATTCCTGGCAAAAGTATAAAGAAGGGGAAAGAAGGGAGAGAAAGGAAGGAAAGAACAAGAGAAAGAAAGAAAGCGAAGGTCCCTGGACCCTGGTTCGAGTCCGGGTGGTGACACTCTATTTTTTCTTCAGACTGTTCCCATTTGTATCTTGCCGCAAAACCAGTGAAAGAAAGGAAGAAAAATAGAATTGGAGGCGTATCCAATTTCGAAAAACAGTGTCAGCACCGACGCAATCCACGCAGTCAAGTAAAGCCAATTCAGTAATCGAACGTTTTCGTTCCCTTCTCATCATGGGTAAGTACCGGTACAGGGAATGATGGAAAATATCGAAATACAGAAAAAACATCATATCTGTACAACTCACAACTATCACTAACCGACAGATGATTCTTGATAGCCGTTTGCTGATTGTTGGAATGTCGCGTTCAGCTGAATCGCGTTCAGCTGAATCGCGTTCAGCTGAATCGCGTTCAGGTGAATCACGTTCAGCTGAATCGCGTTCAGCTGAATCGCGTTCAGCTGAATGGCGTTCAGCTGAATCGCGTTCAGCTGAATCGCGTTCAGGTGAATTTAATTTTTTCCACATGTACATGTAAAGTGTGATGTTCTACTTCGAAGTAGATCTATGTATAATGCTTTTGCTCTAGCTCTCTAAGTTGCTGTATTTTGACATTTTTCCATTATTCCCTGCACTTACCCATGATGAGAAGGAAACGAAACGTTCGGTTACTGAAAGAATTGGCTTTACTTGACTGCGTGGATTGCGTCGGTGGAAAGAAAGAAGGAAATATTTGTTGAAGAAAGAAAAAGACAAAAGAAAGAGGAGGCGCCGGTGATACACTGAGAGCTAGGCTACCGACGGATTATGCTCACGAAATCATGGAACTACTTGGTCCGCGTCAGCAATAATGGACCGTTTGCGTGTTAAAACAAAATGGCGTCACGATTTATTGAAAGTGGTATAGTTGGTGGTACGAGTGTTCAAACCCATTTGAACTTCATACTGTTCGTCTTCTTTTTGACATGCTCTCTTTCCATCGTCCTTAGTTTTTGATTGTTGTGAGCTGTTTTGGCTTTCTCCTATACCTCTGGGGGATGCCAAGTGATGGTTTTGAGAGGCTGGTGATGGCTGTGAGCGAGAGTTTGCCGATCGGCGTCGTCCTCGCTATAACGATGAAAATACTAGTTACTGCGCACCTGGCAGATATCACAACACGTCGGAGCGTCCAGGATCAAAGGAATCTTGGGTTTTCACTGGAATCTAGTTCCTCCAGCATCGTGTAGCCCACCGTCGGTGAATGGTGGTCCAGAAAGGTCGAACCTGGTCTTCTGCAGCATCTCGCAGTCCTGCGAGGCACACTGAATATGCCTGTCATGTATTCTACAAATAAAAATCACAAAGTAGTGGACTTTATAGTGATGAGTCTATCCTGTATGCTGCAAAAGACGCAGGAAATGTGACTGGTGTCCGTACACTGGACGCCAATATCATCCCAGTCTTCTCCTGCAGGATCTGTTTGACATTGACATACCGGTATGCAGTGGGTCGACATTGGCCTGGTTTGGCAGCTATCTGCCTGGGTGGATGTAGCAGGTTTGCATTGGCGCGTCGTCCAGTCCGACATTTTCTTGTAACTGTGGAGTACCGGCAGGGTTTGAGAGGTTGCTCGTGCTGTGAACACATCTCTACTGCCTGTCTCGTCCTGGAAGTGCCGTCTCGCCGCTTCCTTGCTCTACAGTCACGCCGTTATTTTGCTTTGTTTCGTGGTGCAGCTCAAAACCTGCCCGAACAACTGTGAGCTCGCAACATGGTATGGACAAATTGCACCACTCATGCTGGTTAACTAAAACCGGGATAGTCGAGTAAGCGAGTTCACTCCCTGGGCCATGGCAAGATCTGTTCAGCGCGGGCTATTCCAACCTCCAAGTGCATAGTCACCGATCGATCCATGCGATGGTGGTTGACCTACAAAGAGCCAAGGTCTACGAGTACTACTATTGGATGCTGTCTACATGCAGTCAACAAAATCAAAGTACCTCAGTATGCCCCAGAATAGGGCATGTGCATCTATAGCATGACACAACAGGGGTTCTGGCGGCACCTGTCAAACAAGCAGTAACGACTAGTGCCAGCTACCTATTGGAGGCTAGCCCCTACAGTCTGTCACTGGAGATAATTATTTTAATATAAAAATTATCATTATGTTCACTGTTTAGACTGAGCACAATCAATGATGCCCAATCAATCTGCCCAATGTGTGTTCTGTTCCACCTAATTATAACGTCCCATCGCATCAACCCTACTACACGCACATGTCGTCACTCTAGCATGACTTGTGTTATTATTGTTTATTTTGATTCGCACGATAAAATAGAGCACAATATACGTTAACTTGACCGAAGGATAAAGGCGACTGCAGATAGAGGAACTCATCGAGGTACAGGTACCGGCATCAATACAGTATCAGAGAGAAACAAACAAAAATGAGAGGTACGCAGAAAAACTCTCGTAAGCCCAAGGGGAAGTGGTTGATGAGGCCGGGATGAATGCACTCTCCACGCTCATCTACACTGTTCGTGGAAATGCAGACATACATACAATAATATACAACATAGCAATAGCATGCACAGAACCGAACAATTTCATGTTCACACATGCAAGCACAGACCTGAACATTAGTACCAAAAGCCGATACAGACAATATCCCCATACACACAGACGCACACACACACACGCACACACACACACACACACACACACACACACACACACACACACTGTCCCATGTATGCACCTGTGGCGAGAAAAGCACGCAAATCTACAAATGCACTGGATGTGAACCCACAGATTTTCTCTTATAGCAACGATAGCGGATCTGATTCTGAATGAAACACACACACACAATACAATCATTGAATGCCCATCCGCAGATGATGGCAGGTCCTGAAAGAACAGGCTGTTATCTAAACCTTCCCAGGCACTCAGTCATGCACCCCGTGCACACCGTCACACAAAAGATCACAGCCTTTTCAGATAAGGAACAAATTATGCATGGTTGAAAGGAGAGAGAAAATGAGAGAGACGCGAGAGAGAACTGGCTGCGCCAAGAAGAGCGAATGCAAAACCGCTGTCCCTGGCAAAACGTGCGCGTACAAGTGCAGCACAAACGAGACCAGCGTACTACACGCAACAAATAAGGGTAGCGGGACGCAACCTAAAACGATACCAGTCTTCCCAGAAAGGTGCGCTGCTGCGCACAGCCCGCGTATCCATGGAAAACATGGTGCAAAACAAATGCAGAAATGCAGAAGCAAAATAAATAAATAAATCAGAAATTCGAACGACAAACAGTAGTGAGCAGGACGAAGACAGAAAGATCAAAGTTGAGGAAAGAAAAGTGTTTGATCTGTCAGTGGGTGCTTGCACCCGATACGGGGTGACAGTAAACCCTGTCAGATAGTGACACATCGTAGAGTTATTCTGCAGAGGGACTTCACTGAGCAAGAATATAACAAACCACGTAAGTAACTCCAGCAAATCGTGAATAATAATTGTAAATGCATACACAATGTTATCATAAGTATTCGAACACCATAGTTCCCTTTCACCCCTCCACCTGATAACATTGGATGGGGCATACATGTAATGACATACAGCAGGGAAGACAGATGCCTAGCGATAGCGAGCAGGGGGCTGCAGAGAACCACGGGGACGTAATGAATGACCACCAACCAGATGATCAGATGGGGGGGAAATGTCCAAGCAAACCCAACCATCATCATCACCATCATCACGAGGACCATCAACGCGAACATCGCCAACATCAGGCGGGGGCACTAGAGGAACACACGGCACATCAGGAACAACCAAACCAACATCACGCTTCAAGAGCTCGACATTGACCACCTTTTCCTGACGACGACCTGACTCAGGATGCACACGGCAAATCACAACACTGGCAGGACCAATAACATGTTTAACTGACCAACCAGAATCGAACGGGGGCTGACGTTTCTGGCGACGATCAGGGTTACGCAATAGAACACGATCACCAACAACATACGGACAAGAAGGCGACTCAACAACAGGCGCAGGGGCGTGCTCTGCAACAACCGCCGTCAAATAGTCGTGAACCCGAGCAGCCTTATCACACACACCATCAACCCAAAGAGAGGACGAAAGAGTAGATGGTATACCGTCCACAAATAGAGCACGAGGCTCCCAGCCAAACATAGCACGCATGGGAGAAATCTACAATTCACTATGCGGACGAGTACGGTAGAAGAAGAGGAGAATCTCTAGCTCGGCTAGCCAATCGGCAGCAGTATCCAACACCTTGCGAATAAGAGTGAGAATAGTACGATTGAATCTCTCGGCGCCACCCTGTGACTGAGGGTGACGGACCGCACCAGTACGAACGCAAACACCAAACACATCCAACAAAGAAGACACAATAGCATTGCGGAACTCATGACCATTGTCGCAACGCACCACACGCGGCGGACCAAACTTCAAACAGAGACGCAGAAATTCCTCTGCAACAGAGCGACCATCATGACGCCGCAAGGGTACCACCTCGACCCAACGGGAAAACATATCGACAACCACTAACACACAATGGTACTGACCGGTCTGGTTGACACCGAGCTCCAGTGTATCGATCTGGACAATGTCCCACGGCTTGACAGGAACGTCATTCTGAACAGCAGGAGCTGGTGGACCACTGCGGGGATTGGCAGCCTGGCAGGCCTGACAATTACGCACATAGGCCTGGCATAGCGAAGACATACCTGGAAAGAAACAAGACTGACACAGAGAACGCCACATAGTTTCCCAATTGCCATGACCTGTATTGGCATGAGCAGCAGTAATCAAAGCGGGAACGGTGGATTGCGGTGCAACAGGAACCAGTACCTCACCGTCGACGGGGTCACGCCAAGTGCGACACAATAGACCATCAATAACACACAACTGCTTACGAAACTTGCAGAACGACGGATCAGAAACAGAGACGTCACGAGACAAATCGCGAATAACGCTCTGGATAGCATCATCAGTAGCTTGACCAGACTTCAACACGTCAAACTCCAATGGATGTGAAAGTGTAGAAGAGGGGGCAGAAGCAGCGACATCAGCAGAAGAACACAACTTCTTAGCATGAGCAACCCACGGCTGCGGAACACGAGTCAGTACATCAGCATGATTCTCAGAACTTGGCACCCATTCCACTGTGACCGAAATACCGGATGCCTCAATCAAATCTGTAAAGATCTGCAGACGACGTTGAACCAAGACATGTTGCAAACCACTAACTCGCACCCGTTCAGTATTGCGCAACACAGCCTGGAGCCAACCAAAGACAGTCTTAGAGTCTGTCTTGAGCACAACAGAAGAGACATTCCAATCAATAGCCAGCTCGAGGCCTTTCAAGGCAGCATTCAACTCAGCAAGATTGATATGACGCCGGTCGTCCTTTTGCCGGAGCCAAGAACGATCTTCCAGGACAGAACCATCACACTCCAAAACAACACCAATAGCAACATCAGAGGCATCGCAATGAACAACAAAACCAGAACCAGTAGAGGAAGAATGCCACGTACCATGAGCAGGATCCTCTCGCACACAGCGATCGGACAGTTCCTGGAGGAACCGCTGTACTTCAGGAGAGACAGGCTTATCCCATGCGGACTGGCCAGACACGAGGCGCTTCAAGAAGCTGCAGGCCGGACGAAGCCAACAGCAGACGGGATAATGGCTGAGCGCCCGACCGCACCAACTGAAGAGTTCCCGCTTCGTAGTCGTGGGTGGAACAGACAGATCAACACCCTGACGACGGGTCCACAAGACTTCACCCGTGGCGCTAGAATGGAGCTGCAAGCCCAGAACACGGGCATCAGGCAATGGCTCTGCAGGCTTGGTCTCAAAACCAAACGCAGCAAGCTGAGAGGACACTTCGGCAGCACGGTCACGCGGCACGTGGATATCATCCACGTAGTTGTCGGCATCGACCACGTCACGCAAGACCCACTTCACTATGATGTCTAGGAACTTGGGGGCAATGGATAGACCGAACGCCATCCGTTCCATCACGTAACGCTGGCCGTCGACGAGGACAACCTGGTATGGCAGCAATGATGGTGCGACATGGACCTGTAAGTAGGCCTTGCGAATGTCCAGGAGAACGTACTCAGATGCAGGTCCAGCCTGCCGCCACTTCCGTAATTTCTCACCACAGGCAGGTGCTTCTGAGCCAGGATGTGAGATGATGCAGGCATTCAGCCTGCGATAGTCCAAGCAAGGGCGAACTGGAGTGGACGACTTGTGCTCCTGGACTTGAGCAAGGAAAGGCAGCACACACTTGGGCTGGCCATGTTGGTCCACATCATACGGCTGCAGCCAGCCGTTGTCAATCCAAGTCCGGACCTCCTGCTGGAACAGGGTCTCCTGCTCATCAGTCAGTTTCGAGCGAGAGTACTCGCCTATGCCACAGCCAACGGGCGACTGAGGCTCGCTCCCACTTTGCCATTTCCAGGTCAGCTCCCATCTCTTACGAGCAGCGTCCCAGCACACTTGGCCATCATCCGTTGCTAGGGTGACATTACCCTCGTCATCTCTGGTAACTGTCACATGCCCATATGGATGGTCATGGGTCGACCTCTCGGGTGGAGCTGCAACTGGGTCAATGGTCTGCGGTTTCGTGCCAAACGTCACACCAGTGAGCACGCCATGATCATACTGGACGTCAACACCGCCCAGTGCGGAAATCAGTTCCAGGCCAATGACCAGATCTGAGCCAACGGCATGCAAATCAGGGACGACGAGAAACCGACTCGTAGTGCATGGCAGATAAACAGCATCATCGAGTCTGGACACCTGTAGCGAAACTTCACCCTGGATAGGCACACTGTTGCCGTCAATAGCCGAAATTGCCAGTTCGGACGGACGAACATCCACATTCAGGGCCTCCACCAGCTGCCGGCTCACCAGGTTGCGGCTGGCGCCGGTGTCCACGACTGCCTTAGGGCGAGCAGACTGTTCTCCCACAGCAATATCCACATGGAGACGCGGCAAAGAGCATGCATTCGCATCAGGCACACAGAGGCATGGATCAGGCGTGCGCTCAGGTGCTGCGGCCTGCACTTCAGACTCCTTTGCACGCCAGGACGTGTCAGACTGCTGGCGGGACTGGCGCCACTTCTTGTACTCCGGACAGTTTGGCTTCACGTGACCTGTCTCATCGCAGAAGAAACAGGTCAAAGCTGGCCGCCCACCACCATTGCCATGACTTCTGCTGCTGCCAGAACTCCGGTTTGCGGGACAATTGCGGGAAATATGTCCAGCCTGATTACAACGAAAACATAAAACATTCCGGCTGCGTTGGGAGCTAGCAGCCGCAGCGCCAACCGGCTCTTTCGGACGAGATGTACCCTCCGCGCTCCGCAAGCGACGGACATACTCAATACAGTCAGATACAGACTCCATGGAACAATTTATTCGCAACTGGCGTTGAAACTCCCAGGGCAAACCAGCAACGAACTGCTCGATGACTACACGGTCTTTGCCGTCACTCGCGACTTTCTGGCCAGCACCAACTAGCAGTTTCTTCAAGTCTGCAGCGTACCCCTCGACGCTCTCATCGGTCCGCAACGTGCGGGCACGAAATTTCTGGAAAGACGCAGCAGGCGTCGTACTGAATGCACTTTTCAAAGTTGCTTTCACCGCATCCGGGTCAGCTTTGTCGGTTGACGAAAGCTCGTCCCACACCAGGTAGGCCTCGTTCTCCAGAAACAACGGTAAATTGTTCATCTTGTCTGTGCTCGAACTCCACTGCTGGAGGTTCGCTAATACTAAAAACTTAGACCAGAAGGCCTCGAAATCATCGCCACTACCACGATAGGGTTTCACAAACGCCTCGATACGCCTGGACATTCTCACAGGGTTTCGGTACCACTTTGTTATCTAAACCTTCCCAGGCACTCAGTCATGCACCCCGTGCACACCGTCACACAAAAGATCACAGCCTTTTCAGATAAGGAACAAATTATGCATGGTTGAAAGGAGAGAGAAAATGAGAGAGACGCGAGAGAGAACTGGCTGCGCCAAGAAGAGCGAATGCAAAACCGCTGTCCCTGGCAAAACGTGCGCGTACAAGTGCAGCACAAACGAGACCAGCGTACTACACGCAACAAATAAGGGTAGCGGGACGCAACCTAAAACGATACCAGTCTTCCCAGAAAGGTGCGCTGCTGCGCACAGCCCGCGTATCCATGGAAAACATGGTGCAAAACAAATGCAGAAATGCAGAAGCAAAATAAATAAATCAGAAATTCGAACGACAAACAGTAGTGAGCAGGACGAAGACAGAAAGATCAAAGTTGAGGAAAGAAAAGTGTTTGATCTGTCAGTGGGTGCTTGCACCCGATACGGGGTGACAGTAAACCCTGTCAGATAGTGACACATCGTAGAGTTATTCTGCAGAGGGACTTCACTGAGCAAGAATATAACAAACCACGTAAGTAACTCCAGCAAATCGTGAATAATAATTGTAAATGCATACACAATGTTATCATAAGTATTCGAACACCATAGTTCCCTTTCAAGGCAGTGTTCCAGTAATGGGGAACAGAACTTCGAGTGGCGAGTGAGGTATACACACACACACGTGCGTGCGCGGGCACACACTAAAGTATTCAGAAATAGAATCGACATTGTAGTACTCATTGGTTGGGGAATGAAAGGAAAATAAAACATTGCTGTAGGTTATTGTTGTAAGGACACTGGGAGAACAACAGAAAGGTAAGCAACTTGCTTTGAAGCAAAGAAAGTTATTATTCCACGGATCTCAGAAGGAAGGAACGTTCCAGAATGCTGCACTGGCAACAGGCGGCCTGCATGTGCGCGGCCCCTGCAGTCGGTCCAGCTGCCGGCCTTGCAGTGCTGAAAAGAATGTGCAGTACAGCATGTCACATAGTATCGCAGCCTGGACAAATAGGCGCTGGGAAGGCCTAGTTATGTGCTCACCTACACCACGATGCACCAATCTTCTGAGCTACTTTGGCAACAACTTTGTCCACTTGAGACTCCCATGGGCTGAGCCAGTTGTTAAGGGCTGCACCAAGGTGGACGGCAATGACCGCTGATGGCAAAGCAATCCATGACACACAGTCACTAGGGCATCGTCAACATGGCGCTGAGGCTGGATCGATAAAATCAACCTTTAGGCTGCCGCGGGGTTGACAAGGAGGCCGCTGTCTCGAAGCTTCTTGCAAAAGACATCATTCTATGCTATTGTCATGTTCTTACTCCTTAGAACTGCTGAGACCGTTTCATAGTGGGAACACTTCATCTGTGCCTGTTTAGCCATAGCTGTCTTACATGTGCTGTAATGCCGCCTATATTGGCTCGGCGTGCACTTTTGAGCTCGTCCACTACGTTCCGTTTCGTACACTTCTGTAGTAACGCAATAAAGATTCTCATTGACACTCCTTTACACGGCCAGCGTATGTGGATATTAGTCTGTAGGTGGCTGCAATTTGGGTTTTTGTCTTTCGCCGTTCACTATTTTACCAAAATATTCCAATATTCTGCATTTGTCGGATGTGTGCACTGGTGTCCAGACGAGTTGCTTGGCATAACTCGCAGACAGGAATGCATACACGACCAGGGTGTAGCTGAGTGGCATTATTGCACCGTCCTGATGTGTTCATTTTGAGTGCTACATGTTTCCAGCTGTCCTCCATAGACATGTAAATAGCGAGAAAAACAGAGGTTAGAAAATTGGTCGGTGTGGTGTTATTTGGTCTTGGACACCGGCGAGAGACCACATACTAAAAGACTAAGGCTTGTTCTTCTGGATGTTGTAGTGGGTGTTACTACGCGTGCCTGGAACACTTGACGGCACTAACCTAAAGTCCTGCGTAAAGAAAAATTCAAATTTCGACAGTCGGAGAAGACGTGATGCTGCATGGGACAGAAGCACCCCGCGAGAAAACGTTCGAAACTGAGGATAGAAGTTTGCCTTATCCGGCGATGGACGGCGTGTCAGGTCTGAACTCGAACGAAAAAGGGCCTTGTAAGGCCCACCTTGCAATGACTAGAAACTAACAATTCTCAAGAAATAGCTCAAAAAGTTCAAAGTCCACTGACTCTGGAAAATAAAAAACACGGATAGAGTGCGATATTTTGAATCTGGCGCACGGACTGTTATGTCCACTTGCAAGTACAAAAAGGCACAATTTTCCGAACTTTTGGGCTCCATAAGTACAACAAAGTGAATATGTATCCCCGCGTGCCAAAGCATAATAATTACGGGGATTTTGCGAGCATAATGCGAGAATCCATGAAAGCATAATTCCATGATTTCGCGAGCATAATCCGCCGGAGCCTACTACATACTACTGTAGAACTGTGGTAGAATCATGATGACTGTAGTTATGCTCCTACCTCCGAAAGGATGCCAAATTATGCTCCAAATTTTTGTAATGGGTAGCCGAGTGGTAGGCGCGGTGAGATCAACAAGAATTACTTTTATTCTACTTTCAGGTACACACCTGAGATATAATGATTAGTGAAAGAAGAAGCGGCAAAACGAGAGAGCTTGGAAGCTCAGGGCCCTGCGCTATGCTTTGTTGCCTAGCTCATCGTGCATGTTGTTAGAACTGGTGGAAATGCTTTTTCCTTTGATTAGCTTCATCATTGTATTGCCAAAACGTTTCAATGAGATACTGAAGTAACGTCTTCTGCATAGCTTCGGGACCGGCGCTGACTCTGCCGATCACGGGCGTTCTGCAGTCGATGACGTTTCCTGGGACCGGCGCTTACTCTGCCGATCACGGGCGTTTATCTTCTTATTATTATTATACTGGCGGCAACCAACATCCATTCTGATTGCATTTACTCGTCTCCCTACTTCGTATTTCTTTCCAGAAAATCTCCCCATACAGCAGGGAGTCGTTACATAATATGACTCCCTGCTCTACATCTACATGACTGTATAATTATACGTTATAGTTATTATGCTATCCGCCTACATGCGATTCCCGGGCAGGTCGACAGGCGGCCCAGCCAGCCTGCTAATGGAATCTCGGCCTCGCACACAAATCCACACAAAATGTTACTGCACTGAATGCATTCCCCCGATACACTTCGCATATATACTAATGTCTTATTCTCTTGATGGTACCGTACTCTTGATGGTACGGGACAGGTACGGGATAGCGCCAGGTATGTCGATGGCACAAACACACAAAAATATTGTGGCCAGCTGTCTTTGCTGGTACGGTACAGTACGGGACAGATACGGGACAGCGCCAGGCGTGACACAAACAAACAAACAAACAAACAAACAAACAAACAAACAAACAAACACCAAATTAAAGCTTTTTTTCAATGCTTGGGCTCCAACAACTAGTGAGTTTCCCAACATACACTTCATCAGCGGGTGCCAACTCATGTCTTGACTTGTTGGTAACCAACAAACCCCAACATGTCCTCTCAGTCGACCACGCAGCTCCTCTTGGCACATCTGATCATCTGCAGGTTGTTTGTACGCTCAACTATGCATCGTGCTCGACACCACAAGCGACTGCTAAATCGTCCCTCCATCCCCAGGCTCAGTACAGGTATAAACAAGTGCCTACCCATGTCTGGCAGGTTGTGAATGAAGACTTGTCTAGGTTGGACTGGTCATTACTTCATCGGCATTCTGATGTTGATGATGCCATTGTCCTGTTTGATGCTTTACTACAGTCAGCATTCCATCGTCATCTGTTGCCTTACAAAGTTATTCCGCGGACAGGAGACTACATTAGGCCTCATCCTACTATGCGGGATGCATCCCGACCCTGGATCACTCCGGACCTCAAGTGTGCTGTGAAACTGAAGCGAGATTTGTATAGCATTTATAGGAAGTATCCAACCAGTGAAAACTTCATTGCCTTTAAGCGCAAGCGTAACGAAGTGAAATGTTTGTCACGTACCCTCCATCGTCAGTATGTACGGTCGGTTCATGCCACCCTGTCTTCCCATGATCGCCCTAGTCTCCATCAATTTCTCCGCCATCTCCGTAAGAACTGTAGTCGGGAGCCGATCCGATCAATGACAGCTTCAGACGGCACGGTAGCAACAGATCCCGCAGATATAGCAGACATATTGAACACGCAGTTTACGTCGTTTGGACTTCCTGACGACCCTACGTGGCCTATACCACCACTCACCCCTTCACCCCCAATACCTGCGTCCCTCCTATCATTGTCGACTGGTACAGCCCAAGTGAGGAAATATCTCCGTTATCTGAAAACTGGCAAGTCCCCTGGTCAAGACGGAATTACCAACGAAGTTTGGAGAGCTCTTGCTCCGTCTGTTGCCTATCCTGTGTCAATTATCTTGAATATGTCATTTCGTGAAGGGAAATTCCCAGCCATGTGGAAAACTGCGGTAGTCGTGGCCACCTACAAAAATAGAGGACCACGCACCACCCCCAGCAACTATCGCCCTATCTCATTGCTCTCTACTTTATCAAAAGTGTGCGAACGTGTTGTATATGACATCATTTATGATCATGTTCGCATTTCACTTTCGCCAGCACAGTCGGGCTTTTGTCGGGGTGACTCCACCAGGTACCAGGTTACCCGCCTCGTGCAAGACATCCACACCGCCCGGAACGCCCATAACCATGTTGGTTTAGTTTTCTTCGATCTCGCAAAGGCCTTCGACACTGTTTGGCACAGGGGTCTCTTAGCTAAGCTGCGAACAGTATATCGCATTGATGGCAAGGCTATCGGCTGGCTCTCATCGTATCTCTCTAACCGACATCAGCTTGTACACCTCTCAACTGTGTTATCGGAGCCTTTACCCGTTACTTCTGGAGTCCCCCAGGGTTCAATACTTGGGCCACTGCTATTTCTCCTGTATATTAATGACCTCCCCGA